GTTTGATCTAAGAAGTTAACTGGGTTAGATTGGAAGTTAATATAAATATGCGTAATCTCAGGATATTTATGCTGTTGTATTTAAAGTGAATAGTGCTCTTCTAAAGATGTTACCAGGCATTATCATTATTATATATGAAGAAAATTATTTATGTAAGACAAATGCTTTCTTTCATTCTTAAGAAAACACAACAAAAAATCTGCCTAATGTGTGTTACGTTTCGCTCTCAAGCCTACATTAAACTGTTTTGTTTTTAAGATGAAAGAAATCATTTGACATGTTAATTATTTCTTTACAAAATTTATAAGATGTTATAGTTTAAAATATATGCCGAATACTTCAGCTTCGTGTTGAGTAAGTTTATAAGTCCTAACTATACTGTAGATAAAACTCCTACGAACCTTCAGTACTAGATTCCATCTTACTAGCAATTCAGATGTTATACCGTTTCTTTTCTTCTTCTTTTTTATCTTGAATGAAATTAGATATGGAACTACATATTACTATTAATTCTGAAATCTAAATTGGAATACATTATAATTTGTTAAATAATGATTTCTGATTTAGCTTCGATGGAAAACCATTCTTACCAACTAAGCAGTGGTTCCCTCTCAATTCAAGCATATTAACATTTTTCATGGGATAAAGTGTAGCGTAATGGCTAACGCTAACATGAAAGGATTCGGGCCGAAAGACCCAAGACTCAATTATGGCGTAATTAGAACTGCTACAGTAAATCCGGCTACTTGGTTAAGAATAATTTCATAATAGACAGCGAATGTTACTGGCTTCTCTCTAATCAGCAGTTCTAAATCAAGAATAACTGAGTCTGAATTTTAAGAATTTCTGACCTAGCTTTTGCTCCCTAGTGGCACACCGGTATGTCTGCGGACTTACAACGCCAGAAACCGGGTTTCGATACCGTGGTGAGTACAGCACAGATAGCCCATTGTGTAGCTCTGTGATTAATTAAAAACAAACAAACAAACTTAGCTTAGCTCAGTATATCTGTCGCATAAGATGTCGGTCCGGCTAAAACCTTCAACAGGAATACAAAAACTTTCGGTAAACGTTAGTTTCCGAAAACGGGTCAGAGTGTCTGTAGTAATGGCTTTTTGTCTACCATTAACTTGAAACTTCCTACCAAAACTAAGTTAACAATATAGATTATAACTGAAAATATTTTTGATGTTGTTTAGCTGGTTGGTTGGTTGTTGTAAAACATAAAGCTACACAATGGGCTATCTGTGTCCTGCCCACAGTGGGTATCAAAACCTGATTTTTAGTGTTATAAGCCCACTGACTTACCACTGAGCTACCGGGAGGCAAACTAACCAATAAATTAATGAAACCAATTTTATATGACAAACAAGAGATACATAATGCATTAAT